AAATATTTTTTAACCAAAAAATTCTATTGGAGCCCACTCGTCCCCCAAAAATTGTGTCTTCTCCGTATTTTAGCAAGCTAACACCGGATCTAAGGCGTTGTCGTGTAGTGGATCTCGTCCATTGCTCGTTTCAGCTCCCAAATCATCAATTTTTTACATTTCAAAAAATTTTAAATTGAGGTATTCTGACTTACTTTTTGGTAAAACTCATGTATATAAAATGCTTATTAATTCTTTTTTACTGTGGTCTATTTTTTTTTTATCGTTTTGTGATTTAATTAATTTTTTATTTTTTATCCGAATTAGTTTATTTATGTGCTAAAAAATTAGTAAAAAATATATATTGTTATTTTATGAATAATTATTGTTATGTGTGATTTTATTGTTGTACGTATATTAATATGTGACTTTATTATTGTTTAGTACCCTTTAGTGTTATGTTGTGCCCTTAATTATTATGTAGTGTCATTTAGCGTAGTAAAGCTGATAATAAATTTTAACTTATGGTAGTTGACTTTGTTTACATTTAGAGTAGTGTTACTTTAGTGCTCTTTAAGATTTCAATATGTAGAATAAAAACTTTGTGCTCTCCTTAACAAACTCAGATAGAGTACTCAATTATGGATTTAATGTATCAATAGATAATTATCAAATATTAGATAGGAATCATAAAATAATCAGTTATCGGGAAATTTGAGCAAAATATGACAGTTAACAAATAAACCGTTACGAATGTAGTAAATTTAATATTATTTACTATTAAGTTTGTAGTATTTTTTATATGATTAATTATTGAATATATCTTGATTACTTATGAAATTTTATTATATAATTCTGTTATAATTCAAAAATAACTTTAAAAGATGGTAGTTCAAACAAAACCCTGCAGAATTTTAGTAAACAACTGTTGGAAACTAACATATTAAATATTAATATAGAAAATTTATCAACCTAAGTATTTGTTATATGAATAATTACTTAATTATCTTTTTAGTTATTGAAATTAATCATTTAATTCTCTATTAACCCCAAAAATATTTGGAAAATAAATGATAGTTCAAACACAAACCCTCTCGAATTTTAGTCAACAAACGTAAGAAAATAACATAAAAACAACAATATAGAAAATTTGTCAAACTAAGTATTTTGATATGAATATTTATTAATTATATCATGTATAATTATGAAAAATAATTATTTAATTCTATTATACCCAAAAATAGCTGAGTAAGAAACAAACATATAAATAATAAACAAACATATAAAATAATGTAAGAAACTAACATATAAAATAATAATATATAAAATGTATCAACCTAAGTAATAATATAGAAAAAATATCAATTAAATATTAATATAAAAGATATTACAATATATTTAAAGATGTTAAATAATTAAATAGAAAAATACTTTAATTAATATTGTTCAATTTACAAACATCGTCATGGAGGTTCCCTCTATGCATCCCAGACCTACATCTCGAGAGCTATTGTTGCTACAGGGCAACCATAGGTCTTCACACACCTGAGATGGGCAGTGTTTGTCCCAGATATTTCGCCCCAGACATATAGACGATATGTGGGAGTTCATTAGGGACCACTCACTGCATCCCCGTATAGTTAGACGCCTTCAGGGTACGAGTTTCTACAGGATCATAGAGATCGGTCGGTTGCAGTTCGACTGGGTGTTGATCACGGCTATGTTAGAGCGGTGGCGACCGGAGACGCACATGTTTCATCTACCCATCGACGAGGCTACCATTACGCTTGAGGACGTGGAGGTTCTTTTCGGGCTGCCTGATGATGGTATACATGTAGCTTACCCGCATGCTCTTAGAGACTATACGGGAGTGGATTACCTTCATATGTTGTAGGGGCTCACCGGACTACATTGAGTGGGGCCAATCGATTGCAGTTGATGCCTGTTCGGCAGCATCTTGTGGCGATGTACACGGAGATTACTGATGATTCACCGCCAGAGGATATCGACCGGTACAGAGATTGTTGCTGTTGATGTTTGGTGGTATACTGTTCCCGAATACTTCGGGAAACCTAGTCAGCTTCCGATTTCTACATCATCTGGAGCGGCTAGATGATTTATATGGTTATAGCTGGGGTGCAACTATTCTAGTTAATCTATATAGGCAGATGTGTTGGGCGTGCATGGGAAAAAGTAAGTTACATAGGGAAGAATAATTTTTGTGATAACTTTTTGGCTCATTTTATAACTCTTTGCCCA